AAAAGAGATGACTAAGGGGGGATTAAGATAGAAGTCTATAAAATCATGAATGGTTTGGAAAAAGTGAATAGGGAGTTTTTATTTACCCCTTCACATAACGCAAGAACTAGGAGTCATCCGATGAAATTAATAGGCAGCAGGTTTAAAACAAACATAAGGAAGTACTTCTTCACACAACGCACGATCAACCTGTGGAACTTGTTGCCAACAGGTATTGCGGAAGCCAAAAATATACCTGGGTTCAAAAAAGAATAGGTCCATCAATGACTATTAGTTAAGATGATCAGGGACACAATCTCATGGTATGGTTGTCCCTCAATCTCTGACTGCCAGAAGCTGACATCAGGGGATGGATTACACAATAATTGCCCTGTTCTGGTCATTCCCTCTGAAGCATCTGATACTTGCCACTGTTGGAAGACAGAATACTGAACTAGATGGACCTTGAGTCTGACCCAGTATGGTCATTCTTAGATTCTTATGTTCTTAGACTAATCACAAAATATTTAAACACTGGGCCAAATTCATCCCTGGAGTAACTCCACTGTGATTTTGGCCCACAATTTCTCATGCACATGGGACTGTAAAGCAAAGACAGTTGCTATGCAGATGAAACCTCTCTCATCTAGAATAAATAGCTCAATGACTCTGGCCTTGACTCTAAATACTTTATCATGGAAATAAACTTTATAAAGTGGTTCAAATCAGTGTTCAGGTAACATGGCTATAGTTTATCTTCAGCTTGAATGTGCTTGTAACATCCATGTTTCATTCATAGTATAATAATATTTTTAAAAAGAATGTAACAGATTAATCTTTACATGATCTACTTGAATAGCAGAATTCTCTGTTTAATTTCTAACTGTTAAACCAGTATAAAAGATTATCAGAAACTGGTTTGCTCTCTTTGGCTGTGGTGCTCAGCAGCAGATGGCTTAGAAAAGCTATTTAATTAAAAAAATCCCATCAATTTCACATTCCATTTACTGCTTACACATGGTGAGAAAACTGTCTCACCTCGTGAACTTCCAACACACTGTGCAGGTCAAAACGAGGGCAGTTTGCTTTGAAGAAAGCACACTGCTCTTCAATCTTCTAAGTATATCATGGAATGTAACATTTTGGGCTCAGTTCTGCCCTTACTACATGAGCACAACTCCCATCATCTGCAACTCGGACTACTGACTTTAGCAGGTAGTGCACCCATCTATAAAAGAGGAAATTGGACAATTCAAAATTGTGACAACACTGGACTAAATACATTCTTGGTGTAGACTGTAGACAGTGGAATTACAATCATGGTTTGGTCCAAGGCCTTTATTACATTTGTTACCAGTGCTTACACAGCAGGATGGTAGGCATCTCTGAAATATCTGAGACAGGCAGGCATGAAGGAACTCTGTCCTTTATGCTTAGTACTCTTTGGGACCTTTTGGGGTTATTTCATGTTGCTTTACTTTGTGATAAAATTAGACTCTCTGACACTCCTTTTACAATACTTAAATAAATAGAGCAGAATTTTAAATATCTAAGAATATGTTTGAGTATAAATGACTTTCATGTGGAATTGTATCTATTAAACCATGAAATGCTGTGAAATTCATTATTTTTGACACAACCACCCTCATGAAATTGACCATTGGGAATTTATGTACATACATTGCCTGGTAGCAAGAGTCTGTTTAGGACAAAGCATAAAAAGCTAATATAATTTTGTTGGACAGTCTATAAAGTATTGCTTTTGAATGTTAATTGTAGATTTTTCTCTTAAATTATAGGCCCAGTCTTCCATCAAACTTCCACTAACTTTACTTAGCACAAAATCAGGCCTTAATTGGCTAATTTTTTTCTCAATGGACAACTGAAATTTACAATTTCTCATTTTTTATTAGTAGGGAGAACCTTCTCACTTGTGTATACAAAACAAAACCTCAAAATGCATTTACAGTGCAAAATAAAGTTTTTCATGGTAAATATATAGCATTGTCACAAATATCACCTTTATGGAAAACTCTCACAGAATTGAATAGGGATGAAATCAACAGAATTCTAAAGAAATCAAACAGAATTCTAAGAAGCTAATCTAAATCTCTCCTTTCTAAAGATTTTAAACCAAATGATAAAATTTAAAAGAGATATTATATCCCTGTTATAGAATTATATAGACAGGTTTAAAAGTTCTGTAAAGAAGATGTAATTCTCTATTAAATCTATCAGACTTTTCCGTAAAGGCAGAATTTTAAAATGAATATTACTTTAGCACCTTCAAATTTAACATTTATCTATGGAATCTGGACTGATTCTGATCTAATTTACACAATGGGAAGAAACTGCACTGAAATCACTGGTTTCCACAGGCGTAAAGAGTGGCACAAGGGCCTAAACCTGCTCCCATTGGAAGTCAAGGGCAAACTCCCATGGATGTCAATGGTGCTGAATCAGGCCAGAGATCAGACTCAAACTAGCATCTTTTCCATTGAATCAGAGAGGAAATATACAGAATCTACATCATTTTGAAAGAACACAGTCCACACATACAGCCAAACCAGAGTCCTGGGGCCACCAGGAAGAAAGGAGATGCAGAGTTTGCTCAGCATGCATATCTCCTCATGTGGAACTTCCACCAGTATGAAAGATGTGAGCAAATCTCTGAGGGAGAGACAATGAGTGTAACTGGGAACTCGGGGTGGCTACACAGGAAAGTGAGTGGGTGCTGAAACTGAGCATCAAGGGGTTGAAGAGCCTGATGAGAGACAAGGGAGGGTAGAAATCAGAATGAGAGATAGTAGATTGAAAGCTGAAGGCACTGGAGGGGCATGCAGAGTGGAGATGATCCGGAACCTGAGCATATAGAAGCTGGATGTGGATGTGATATATCTTGACTTTAGCAAAGCTTTTAATATGGTCTCCCACAGTATTCTTGCCAGCAAGTTAAAGAAGTTTGGATTGGATGAATGGACTATAAGGTGGATGGAAAGCTGGCTAGATTGTCGGGTTCAACGGATAGTGATCAACAGCTTGATGTTTAGTTGGCAGCCGGTATCAAGCGGAGTGCCCCAAGGGGTCAGTTTTGTTCAACATCTTTATTAATGATCTGGATGATGGTATGAGTTGCACCCTCAGCAAGTTCATAGATGACACTAAGCTGGGGGGAGAGGTAGATATGCTTGAGGGTAGGGATAGGGTCCAGAGTGACCTAGACAAATTGGAGGATTGGGCCAAAAGAAATGTAATGAGGTTCAACAAAGACAAGTGCAGAGTCCTGCACTTAGGAAGGAAGAATCACATACAGGTCGGGGACTGACTGGCTAAGCAGCAGTTCTGCAGAAAAGGACCTGGGAATTATAGTGGACGAGAAGCTGAATATGAGTCAGCAGTGTGCCCTTGTTGCCAAGAAGGCCAATGGCATATTGGGCTGTATTAGTAGGAGCATTGTCAGCAGATCGAGGGAAGTGATTATTCCCCACTATTCAACACTGGTGAGGCCACACCTGGAGTATTGCGTCCAGTTTTGGTCCCCCCACTACAGAAGGGATGTGGACAAATTGGAGAGAGTCCAGCGGAGGGCAATGAAAATGATTAGGGGGCTGGGGCACATGACTTACGAGGAGAGGCTGAGGGAACTTGGGTTATTTAGTCTACAGAGTGAGGGGGGATTTGATAGCAGCCTTTAACTACCTGAAAGGAGGGTTCCAAAGAGGATGGAGCTAGGCTGTTCTCGTGGTGGCAGATGATGGAACAAGAAGCAATGGTCTCAAGTTGCAGTAGGGACGGTTTAGATTGGATATTAGGAAACATTATTTCACTAGGAGGGTGGTGAAGCACTGGAATGGGTTACCTAGGGAGGTGGTGGAATCTCCATCCTTAGAGGTTGTTAAGGCTCGGCTTGACAAAGCCCTGGCTGGGATGATTTAGTTGGTGTTGGTCCTGCTTTGAGCAGAGGATTAGACTAGATGATTTCCTGAGGTCTCTTCCAACCCTAATCTTCTATGATTCTATGAACTTGGGAGCAGGGCCCAAGGTGTTTATTGGGTGTGAGATTTTTTGTGGGGAAATTGCTACAAGGAACTATAGAAACTTACATTGTAGATTTTCCTAAGAACACAGTATTCAGAAGAATGCAACATAGCAGCTGGGGTATGTGTTTCTGTCTTGCCTCCTTGTCCTTTAGCCAAGGTCTCTTCAACACACTGCCATATGGAGAGGCAGTGAAGAGTCACATCTATGGTTGTGGAAGGGAAGTAATGTGGTGACAGAAGAGGTATATCCTGCTCAATATCCGCTCTGTGGTGTTCCCACTGCTTGGCACTTTTACATGCACTCTTGTGCCCCAGAAGTAAAGTGACCAAACCAAGTTTACACATAGCATATAAAAGTGGCAGAACCAGGACTTTATCCCTGGCATCTTGACTCCTGGTCCCCACTTTCAGAACTAGATCACAGAGCCTAACGATAGAACGGGATTCCTACACACTTTCAAAAATGCCTTCAATCTGTGTCCTTATGACCTTGTCCTCCAAATACAGTATGTACAGCATAGAAAGCATTTGAGGCTATTTGAATAGCCCTAAAAATAAAACAAGATAAATACAAATGATAATACACAATGAATAACACTGACTTATGATTAAATGTGTTCCCAAATCTTTGTGCTGAAATCTGAAAGCGATGGTTCATATTCTGTAGCCTGTCACACTTGCAAAACAACCTACAAGGGGCCCTGTTATTTACTTATGGTGATAAATGGCTAAGGACAGTAAGTCAGACGTTTGACCTCTGATTGTCCGTATTCCACATAACCATTCAGAAATGCAATGGTTCGGATCTCTTTTATCAATGTCTACATTGTATTACTACGGATGCTGATGATCTTAACAAATGGTTAGTTACATCCTAATTTTTGCCTTAAATATAATAACCATTCAGGACATGCTGTCTCAAATAGTCAGTGTATGACACCATGCAGAAGAAAAAAAAGTTCTATGCTGATCTTTGCTTACCAATACAGGATTCCCCGGAAAATGAGTAGGTTCCATTGTCATGGAAACCGCTTCTGCACTCACAGTGGTACCACCCTGGGAGGTTAACACAGCGTGAATGGTTGTGACACTCAATGATCCCCTCTGCACACTCATCAATATCTGCCTCAGAGAAAAACACAAGCCAGCCAGAAAATTAATTTCCTTTGACACCAACATTTTAGATGCTTTTTTTTTTAAAGTCTTCCTTTAAAATATGGATTGTATTTTGTTATGGTTCCAAACACACAGTTGGTTCAACAACAGCAAAAACAACAAGTAGGACATCTGAAACATAAAAAGTAAATAAAATTTTTACTATAATACGTAAATAAGGTGTTTTTATTCAGAGGTAAGGAACTATTTTTTCCATGTACATAAAACATTCTGAGGAAGATTCTCAACTGAGAATTTGGCCCTGTATCTTTTTCTGAGAATCCTGAAGTATCACTGTAGAATGAAAGCTTAATGATCTAAAACAAAATATGAGATCATTCTTGCTGCTGGTGGTGTTTTAAAGTGCTGTACAGGTGGTGTACAATTATGATCCTAAGGGCCCTACTCTACCACCATTACATGGAATATTATTTAACGACAAAAGTAGTCCTACTGGGTATGATCTCAATTCCACTAGGTCTGCTTTGTACTAGTCCTCCAGAGCAGTACAGACTTAAAATCATTGGCTCCATCCCTCTACGGATTCTCTTGGCATAGGGGAAATTTTCTGTTGGTGTAGGGCTGCTGTAGCGACTCCCATGATGCCTCTCCTGACCCCAAATATAGGTAGGATGGCCGGGCAAAAAGAATCATGGCTTGGAAGCCTCTGAGACTGGCTGATAGGTCCATGGCTCTACTTTAACTTTCCCTGGGAACCAGACCGGGTCACTAGCTTGGTCAAGGACTGAGGAAGGCCCTCTGGGCCCTAGAGTTTGGCTGGACCAGACAGTCTGATGCAGTGTGAGCAAAGGTGATAGAAATGGTCCTAATCAGTGTTAATAATATGCCTAATCTCCAAACTGGGCATCCCAGTACAGCCTGCAAAAGACAACAAATTTTCAGCAACTGGATTTCTGTTCTAGAGTTAATACTTGGCCACTGTACAGGACTTTATATGTTCAACAGACTTTACAAAAATTAACTAACACCTTGCTGAAATTACAATTTTCACACTGTTTCTGTGATGAAGGTTAATACATTGTAATAGCATGTGACAGAAAGAAAAGGCAATCATATGTTTCAGCTGCAGTTATAAGATCCTCTGGAAAAGAGTGAACAAATGGCAATATACCTGTAATTTTGTAGCAGTGGAAATATACAGAAAGTTTGATTCCCTGCAGAGTTCCAGTAAACATGTGTTGCTTTTACTAAGGATTTTTCTAAACCTTCTTTAACATCATAATCTGTAACAACCTTGGCTGATTAGTGCTGGCACCTGGCTGTTGTTCTCCTTTGAGCATTTATGCAGTATATTTTGGAGGGTTATAATTAAAATTAGCAAATTAATTTTATGTTAACCTTCCAGTAATTAAGAAGCTGTTATATTTTCATGATGTTCATAAAAAATGGTTTATTCTTCTGTTTAGCCAGAACCATTTTTAAAAAATCTTGGACAGTTTTCAGCACCGCTGTAGGGGATCTTTCCAATTATAAATGAATGTCTTTTCCTCAACAAGGATGAGCTGCTTTCATCCACTGAGAATTATTCCTATCTAGTCAACAGCATATAAAACAAGAATAAAAGCTTGTATCACAAACACAATGGAAATCTGCAGACTTTGGCCTCAATTCTGCCTTGAGCATGGATGCAGGGCTCTCACCCCTGGATTTTGATGCAAGACTGGGATCTTATTGAGCAATCTGAGTCTGATTCTTATCTCCATTTACAAATATTATACACCAGTGTGGCTCCATTGACTTCTGTGAAATTTATTCTGATGTAGACCAGTATAGATCAGAACCAAGTATTTTCCAAATTCAACTATATTTATTATTTTATATTAGCAGTGCACCACAAAAGGACAGATCCATCTTTCTTTTGTTTAATAATAGTATTTATTCTTGTTTAAATCTAACTGAGGAATCTAAACAAAGCCCCCTTTTCACTTTTGTGTTCATACTCTGCTTAAAAGTGAAGCAATGTAATTTTCTACAGTGCTGGCATACAACTACCATTTATTTCTAGCATTCTTCAACATCTGTCTAATAATAAAGTCAGCTTGTTTACTCTTTAAACTCTGTTGCTGCTGCCACCCCTCTGTACTTTATATTTTGTGGAAGCTAATTTTAGCGTAAAAACAATGTACAAATCTAACCATCCATCAATGATGAGCGCTGCTTGCAAATTCAGATGCTTTCAATTCATTATAGCAAATGGAATTTATAACCATGATCTTTTCACATGTCATGGCTGATGGAACAAGTTTAATCCTATTTGGGAAGTGCATGACTTTGCTACTGCAGGTTATTTGCAAATGAATCCTCCTTCTTGCTTCTTTTTCTTCCCTTGTATTGAATCCAAGAGCGCTCTGATCTAAAAATTGTTTACTTGGGTCAGTCCTTTACTTGACCTCCCCTCCCTTCAATTCTACTGTTTTTAATTTATGAAATCAATAGAGTTTTCCTAAAGTTTATCTCCAAAGCAGAGTCCCTTTGAAAGAATGTTTGATTTAGGTTTATGGTACAGGATGCTCATTAGCAGATTACTTTTTAGAGAGCTCTCCTGCTTAGAGCATTTGCTCCTATTTAAAGAATGGAGAAGAGAGTCAGAACATGAGGCTATGCACATTATGTTGGGAAAATTAAAATGATATCACTGATTATTTCTCGATTTGATTACTTCCTTAACCTACCAACACCATCTTTGTCTGTAGCTTCCTACAGGAATAGAGAAAAGGGTTAGACGATGAAATTTTGATAAACGTCTAGAGTACTGTATGCAAGGCAAAGGGGAAAATAAAAAGCAGCCTTTCCATTTGTCTAATGCATTACAGTTGGTTAGCCCGCACACTTGCACAAATGTCCACAAAGGCTAAAGAAAAAAAGAAAAGGCTCTTCAGCTGATCCTATTGTCCCTTACCCTATTTTTAGCAAGTCGTACATGGACAATATTTATGAATTTCTTCTGTAAATACTGAGTGATTTAAGAACAAAGAGGTCTTGGTAAACTGGGATGTTTTAAAGTATATAAATCATATAATGGAGACAGCAAGCCCACACTGTCAGGGGCATTGGCTAGATGACCTAGCTGGATATTTTCCATCTTATCGTACTATGGTTTTTGGAAGCACTTTTATGTGGGGTATTTGTATATAAGAAGATTTTGCAATATCTAATGGCTGGATAAGACGATTGGAAATCAAGCGATCTGGGTTCTATTCTAGGTTTGTCACTGGCCCCCTCAAATAAGTCACTTCACCCTTCTGTTTTCCTGTTTTCCCATCTTTATACACTCACATTAAGCACTTTCAGATCACTGGATCAAAGATGCCATAAGTACACAGTATTTATATGCATATGGTACACATATATCAGTGCCAGATTTTTTACTACAGTAAATGATTCAATTGCCTACAAAGCTATAGTGTGCGTATTATATATAGATTTCCAGACAAAAAGATGTGTTAAACGGAAGTAAAGGGAGGAAAATATATAGCAACAAATTAAGAATAAAAACAGTATTGTACAACAAAATTGTATTGATTCCCCAAACAAGTACTACAAAACTGTTCTGGGACTATGCCCTAACGCAGCTGTTGGGAAATGACTGCTGGACCTGTGCAGTCACAGGTCCATGTGCGCTGCTCCTCTCCCAGCCCACCCCAAACCAATGTTCCACATTCTCTGTATGTTAAGGGCACAGATCTCTGGAGAAGCACAAAAGTTCCACTACATTAATGCCCTCTGCAAGCATTTATGGGGGCAGGGAGTGGGAGGAAAGGAAAGGAGATAGTAGGATGCCCCCTTAAATATATAGCTTAATACAGTAAAAGCTGTTTTATCCAGCATGTTGGGGGAATGGGGGTGCTGGTAAGTGAAAAATTCCGGATAACTAAGAGGGAGGAAGTTTGGGTGTGGGAGGGGTTGCGAGGCTGGGGGTTGCGGCATGGGAGGGGGTGCAGGGCATGGGCTCTGGGAGGGAGTTTGGGTGTGGGACAGGGCTCAGGGCAGCAGGTTGGGGCACGGGAGAGGGTGTGGGGTGCTGAATCCGGTGGGTGCTCACCTTGGGTGGCTCCCCACAAGTGGCAACCTGTCCTGGTTGCTTCTAGGCGGAGGCGCGGCAGGCGGCTCTGCCCCCATCCTGCCCTGAACGCTAGCTCTGCAGCTCCCATTGGCTGGGAACCATGGCCAATGAGACCTGCGGAGGTGGTGCCTCCTCCTAAGAGCATCTCCTCCTGCGCCCCAACCCGCTGCCCTGAGTCCCTTTCAACACCCAAACTCCCTCCCAGAGCCTGCCCTCCACACCCCTTCCCACGCCCCAACCCCCTTCCAGCTCTGCACCAACCAGACTATAAACCAGAATCTCAATGGAGGTCAGAAATGCCAATTTATAGCGTTTTCCGGGTGGTAATGTGCTGGATAAAACAGCTTTTACTGTATATTCATCTTTATGAGGCTAATCCAAAACCCACTGAAAGCAATGGAAAGACACTCATTGACTTTTATGGACTTTGGATCAAGCGCTACATTTTTAAATATATAGTATAAAAAAAAATAGTGTGCATATGCAACCCAGCCAAATGAATATTCTTGTGGGAATCTCAACTTCTGTCTATCATGAATGTGTGACTTTCAGCTGTGTGGAACATTAAGTCTGCATTAATGTAATTTTTACATGTTCTATTTAACTCTAATTTAACAAGGGGCATTGCAGCTCTTCCCCCCCACACCACCCCGTGGTGCCCTTCTCCTCCCCACCTTTTTTCAGTGTAAGCCCTGCTCACAATGCCCATCTGGAAGGAGTTACTGTACAGCAGGTTCTAATGCATGCTTTTATCCCACTTGGTTATTTAACTGTCATTAGCACAGGATTGTTAATGGATCTGACAACACTCCAGTATGGTGATTTTGCAGAAGGTATGAAGTGGTGCATTTTTCCATTGTACAACAGGGACACCAGTTGGTTT